ATAGTGTCACAAAACAGAAAGACATCAATTAGATTTGAAAATTTTACCTGAAATTAAAATTTAAACAGCAAACACTTTCTATTTTGTCAGTCAGGTCTACCTAAAAGCGCTTATCAGAAAACAATATATATGTAGTTTCTATATGACCTTTAGTAATAGAGACAATAAAAAGTGGATGACAAATTAGAAAACTTTCCATAAACCATGCTGCTGCTGCTGCTAAGTTGCTTCAGTCGTGTCTGACTCTGTGCGACCCCATAGACAGCAGCCCACCAGGCTCGCCCATCCCTGGGATCCTCCAGGCAGGAACACTGGAGTGGGTTGCCATTTCCTTCTCCAATACATGAAAATGAAAAGTGAAAGTAAAGTCGCTCAGTCGTGTCTGACTCTTAGCGACCCCATGGACTGCAGCCTACCAGGCTCCTCCATCCATGGGATTTTCCAGGCAAGAGGACTGGAGTGGGGTGCCATTGCCTTCTTCAGGTCCATAAACCATAGCCATCACCAAAACACACGCTATCAAATTCTCTGTCTCCTATCCTCCACCAGCCAGTGTCAAGTTGAAACAAATAGAGATGAATTGCTGCTTTTTTTGCAGTGACATAAGGCTTATTCTAGATTTTGACAGGGCCTGCACATAACAGAGCTCTTAATGGAAGTTGAAATTGTCTTCAATTATACCCAGTGTCTAAAGGTGGGTCAGCCTGGCTTTTTAAGCTCTTAAAATAGCTCTGATTTCTGTCAGGGTTACCAAATTAATAGGACTCTATGAACTTTTGTCCTTACTTAAACGTTAAAACTTAGAAGAAAGTACTATATACTGTATGACTTTTTAAAAAGATTTCACATGTTAGGCTTCCAGATGAATTCTGAAGTTTATGCACAAGAAGGAATTTGAAGAAAATCAAGATGAGGGTTGAAATTGAAATTCATTTCAACCATGAGGGCTGAGGATATTATGGTTTTACTTCTGAAATGAAGGGGGGCTTTTTCATCCATGATATACTAATTTATTTAGCAAATGTTAATTAAGAATCCTCTTCTCTGTATTTCAGCCATTGGGATGTAGTGTGACAAACCTGAATCTGCCCTCAGAGCTGACTGTCCAATGTGAGGACAGAGACCATAAGCATACTAATAGTTTTCACAATTTTAAAATGTTATATAGGACACCTTATAACTTGTAGCACTATGTCCATGGGATTTCCCAGATAAGGATACCAGAATGGGTTGCATTTCCTTCTCCAGTGAATCTTCCCAACCCAGGGACTGAACACGAGTCTCCTGTGTGGCAGGCAGATTCTTTACCACTGAGCCACCAGGCAAGCCCAAAATAATTAATACCATATCTTAAATTACTTACAAACTCTCTAAATAACTTCGTAAGTCATGAGCTTGTTAGTTTTGGCGATAACTGTTGCAAAGAAGCATTTTGTCGTTGGAAGCTCCATTATCTTTAACAAATATCATTATATGAAGTGGCAAAGTTTTCCATTTTGTGGAATCTCTTGATCATTTTAATAAGCTAAAGGGGGTGAAGACATAAATTCTACTAATAGCTGAACCTATTTTTCATATGTTTACTTTTTTTTTGTCTTTCCTTCCACTCCTAAATTTTCTTTTTTTTTTCCTTTATTTTTTATTAGTTGGAGGCTAATTACTTTACAATATTGTAGTGGTTTTTGCCATACATTGACATGAATCAGCCATGGATTTACATGTGTTCCCCATCCTGAACCCCCCTCCCGCCTCCCTCTCCATCCCATCCCTCTGGGTCATCCCAGTGCACCAGCCCTGAGCACTTGTCTCATGCATCCATCCTGGGCTGGTGATCTGTTTCACCCTTGATAATATACATGTTTCAATGCTATTCTCTCAGATCATCCCACCCTCGCCTTCTCCCATAGAGTCCAAAATTCTGTTCTGTACATCTGTGTCTCTTTTTCTGTCCTGCATATAGGGTTATCATTACCATCTTTCTAAATTTCATAAAAATATGGAATGCTTCACAAATTTGCGTGTCATCCTTGTGCAGGGGCCATGCTAATCTTCTCTGTATTGTTCCAATTTTAGTATATGTGCTGCCGAAGCGAGCACCATATGTTTACTTTTGAAGACAAGAATGGTTTCTTTTCCCAGGGATAAGCGTATGAATGAATACACAGGTTGGTCCAATCGATAAAGCTTTTATGACTGTGACCTAGACTCAGACATAAAAAAATAAACATGATAATCCCCACCTTCAAGGAGCTCACCAGTCTGTAGTGGGGATAGACAGAAATGTACATACAAATAATGTGGAAATTGAAATGATATTAATGGAGAAAAATTGCAACAGTAAAGAGGAATTTCGCTTAAAGGGAAGTGCCAACAGGCTTATGGGCTTCTCTGTGCCAAGCACTAAGTACTTTAAATGTATTTGCTTTAATCCTTCAGACCTCAACTTTAATGTATTTGCTTTAATCCTTCAGACCTCAATGAAATGGGTACTATTATCTTCATTTTACTGCTGGGAAAATTGAGTCACAGGATTTTGAAGCTGTTGATTGTTTTAAAGTAATCCTTTCTAGGCCTCTCAAATAGTAATGTTACAGTGAAAAGGAAAAAGAGGAAGGAGTTTTCTTTCCCTTTCCTGAGAACAAAAAAGATAGAACAGAGAGCAGGCCTGAACATTCATAGTTTTTACTTTAACACTTCCTAATCTGTAATCAGTAACTAAATTTGCTTTTCTTCCGCCTAACTCTGCACGAGCTACATTTTGCACCTATTATCCTTTGGAAGTGTTAGTCACATTTGACTCTTTGTGGCCCCATGGACTGTAGCCCACCCGGCTCCTCTGTCCATGGGATTCTCCAGGCAACAATGCTGCAGTGGGTTGCCATTTCCTCCTCCAGGGCATCTTCCCAACCCAGGAATAAGACCTGGGTCTCCTGAATTGCAGGCAGATTCTTTACCTGGGAAGTCCAGTGACTCCAACTCTATGCTAATTACATCCTGTATCTAGCGCTCACTTTTATAGCACTCTCTCTGCAAACCATCTCTTGTATTTTTCTCTTTTTACATATCTGAAAGAAAGGGCAGGGCCACTGGACAGTTAGACTCAATTCCTGGTTATTGACACCAGTCTATGACTGTTTTTGAAACAATGCAAGAGAAAGAAGAATACAGGATTCTCACACCTTTGTTCCTCATCACTACTCCTGATTGGGAGCCCTCATCTTATCTAAGCCCCGAGGCTCCTCATGGAGTGGGGACAGTTCTTGAGGCATGAACCTACTGTTCCCCTCTCAACCAGCTGGGAATTAAAGCCACCTTTCTGTTTCCTCCAAATTCTCCTCCATGTTTTTTATTCAGCTTTGATGTGCAGAGAAAGCCAAGATTTTGGCCAGTAACAGTAAGTGGCCCAGCCTGATGTGGGAGGGTTTCAAGGCAAGTGGGCTGAAGGTGTCATATTAGTCTTAAAGGATTAGTCAAAATCGAGACACAGAAGCAAGGGACATTTTATGGAGATACATTTCAGGTCAAAAAAATAGGACTGAAAACATATCAGAGGTGACTAACATACACTGTGTGGAGGGAAAACCTGCTATTTTGGTTTTTCAATGGCAACGACTGGAAGAGGGAGTTCAAAGAAGGTGAGTAGAGATGTCAAGAACTCAGAGCCTCTTGAGGAAGAGTGGACTCCAAGGGGCAGGCGAGGGTGGGGCCCCCAGAAAGCGAAGGAAAGTTTTAAAAATAGTGATTGGCAAAGTTTTGGTGGTAATAAAAGTCATTTTGATAATGAGTGATGGATTTCAGTAGGACAAACCTGGAGACAGAATAAGTCAGAAGGTGCATTTCAATAAGTTAATTAGAGGTACTTTGAGTGGATTTTTTTTTTTTTTTTTTGGTTGTGCATGTGGTTTGAGGGATCTCAGTTCTCTAGTCAGGTATTGAATCACCCCAGATCATGATAGTAAAAGCCCAGAATCCTAACTACAATGCAACCAAGAGTCCCTAGGAGTGTAAGGAGATCAATCTAGTCCATCCTAAAGGAAATCAACCCTAAATATTCATTGGAAGTTCTGATTCTGAAGTTGAAACTCCAATGCTTTCGACACCTGATGTGAAGACTCGTTGGAAAAGATCTGGATGCTGACAAAGATTGAAGGCGGGAGGAGAAGGGGGCAACAAGAATGAGATGGTTGGATGGCAACATCAACTCAGTGGGCATGAGTCTGTGCAAACTCCAGGAGATAGTGAAGGACAGGGAAGCCTGGTGTGCTGCAGCCCATGGGTTGCAGAGTTGGACACAACTGCATAGCAATAAAAACTTGAATTAAACTACTCCATTTCCTAGATTTATTTAATCAGAATAAATAATTAACTTCTAAAATAACTAATTTACTTTAATTATCCAAATCTCATATGAGGAGCTCCTTAGACTCTGTATTTCTCAGAATTACAATTTTCAGTGGTAGCTATACAGCTTCAGAATCAGCTTGATGAAAACTCAGGGAGCCCAGAAATCCCTAAAGATAGTGTGTTTGTCCCTTGTTGAGGTTTAGGTAATTTTTCTACCAATGTGTTGCAACTATTCTAAGTTTATAGCTTTAAAGTAAAGAAATAATTACTTGTTTAAACATCTTTTAATCATCTCTGAAGCAAAGATATTAATTCTGTGCCCCAAACTGTTGGAGATAGAATCAGTAGCCATCTAGTTCAATTTCAACATTGAGAGAAGACAATAACAGCCTAAATTATTAAGTGCCCAGTTTATACCCATCAAAGTTCTAATTGCTTTACATGCAGAAACTCAACCTCCCAATGAGTACATGACAAGTGAGATAAATAGCTTGTTCTTGGTGACAACATCAGTAAAACTAAAGCCACGACACACACCTACAACCATGCCCAAAGCACCCACTTCACCAGGCCCTCGCATGACAGAGAAGGGAAGGAGGAGACACTGGCTGATGTGACTAGCTTGTTATTAATGGAACACAGCCCAGAGCCCTTCCTTAGACACCGTGCCCCATTTTCTGCCTCTTCTGACTCACTGTTGATAAAATAAGAGAATTAACCTCACTTGCTGACCCTGAAAATGAAAAGAAGATGTTGATATTATTCACCATGCAATGTCTTGGCAACAGCTTAACCTAGGGTCCATTTTTAGCCCAAGTGTAGAACCATAATCTGCAAGCATCTCCGTAACACCAGGAGGAATGAAACTCAGCAGTGATGTGAGAGCACGGGATAGCTTTCTCACTGGGCATGTTGGATTTCAGCTTCCTTACCGCTCTTCTCTGATCCTAAAAGGGACAGGGGCTTAAAGGAATTGAACAGATCAATCACTGTATCTGTTACCAGTGATGCCCTGTAATTAACATCTCTCACCAGGAAAGAGCCTTCACCCAGGCCAAATCATCTCAGAAGCTCAACCTATATTGTTAAGGGATTTGAATTTACCATAAAATATTAACTATGCTGTAGTACAGACTCAGAGTTTACCCTAAAATTAGCAAGATAACCCTTTTTTAATTCTCAAAGAGGTAACAACAAATTTTAGAGATGGTAGGTAAAGAGTCCAAAATTGTGGTTAAAAATCTTCAGCTAAAAGGGAGACAAAGAAATTAAAAAGCCTGCAAAGAAAAAAAAAAAAAAAACAAAAAACACTTGGGAATCTTCCTGTAAAAAAAAAAGGGAATATCTGACTCCATGTGTTAAGTTTTCAAGGATGATGAAACTGTAATCAGAAATCTTCCAACACAAAAAAAAAAAAAAAAAAAAAAAACAGAACAAAGGGAAAATCTACAGCCTGGAGCTTTGGCAGGAAAAACATGCCCAACAAACCCCTTTCCCTAATTGGTCTTGCATTCACACGCTCTTTGACATGGGGTGAAACACACTGGACTCCTGACTGCTTGGGGGAGGGAACAAGGATATGAAAAAAAAAAACACCTTAAAGGTGTGGGGCCCCTCCGATGGGGTTAGTCCACTCTCACATCTGGGGAGTGTATTTTTTCATATCACTTGTTTAATAAATCCTGCCTGAGTGAGATTTCTGCTCTTTTTTTTTAATTGATTGATGATTGGTTTGCAATATTGGTTTGATTTCTGTCCTACATCAACATGAATTGACCAAAGGTATACACATGTCCCCTCCCTCTTGAATCCCCCTTGTTTTAATTTTTTATTATGGCAAGACAAGGACAGAGGAAGAGGACCATGCCCGACATGGATATTAAGCAGCCAGCATTCCTAAAACTTGAAACATACATTTGACATGCTATATTCATTTGCTGAATTATGTTACACACTATCTTTAATGATCAGGTGTCTAAACATGGAACCATGGAGTAGGTTCATTCCTTTCAAATATAAGGAGAGATAGAGAAAGACAATTAGGGAACAAGCTGAAAATATTGAATGCAGCCTTCTATTCAGGGCTTGAAAGAAACTGCCTCTGGCCTACAGAAGAGTTCAGTCTGTGATACCTGAGTTTGATCTGAATAATTACACACAGCAGATGTGCTTTTGGGTCAACAGTCTGATATGAAGGAATCACATATTCATTGAAAGTATTCATGGCTATTCTCTTTCAAGTTCTACCAATGAGTATTATTTTACAATTTTTACCATGAGCAGTGAAATCACAGACAGTTCCAAAGTCATTTATAAAGTCAAGTGCAATAGTCTTTTTGATTTCAGACCCCTCGTTTTCCTAAATGGAGTCTCCTTCATGGTTCCTCCATGTTGGATGATACAATTTTTGGAATCATTCATCAGTTCCCTGATCTCTAGTCAATGTGGCCTTATTTGATTAACTATACTTTCTGATCAGTTCAGTTCAGTAGCTCAGTTGTGTCCGACTCTTTGTGACCACGTGGACTGCAGCACGCCAGGCTTCCCTGTCCATCACCAACTCCCAGAGCTTGCTCAAACTCATGACCACTGAGTCAGTGATGCCATCCAACCATCTCATCCTCTGTTGTCCCCTTCTCCTCCTGCCTTCAAACTATACTCTACACTATTGAAATCATCATGTCACTGCAGATAAGCATGCAGTTTCCAGAATATTAGATGGTTAAACTCAAGGTTGTCATCATTAAGGGCACCTTATTTATCAGTCCCATTAAAAAAAATTATAATGCCCTGCAAAAAATAAAATTAAAATAAACTATAGCAATGTAATAAAAAAAAAAAAAGTGTTTCTGCGGGAAGAAATTGTTTGGCTAAGAAAACATCACTGATGAACTTTCAGTGTTTCCCATTAGGCTGACTGACTGCTACTAACCAGCTACAGATAAATGAAGGAAGGTCTGGTTTATACTTCCCTAAATCTTTGCCGATCAGAATGACTTCTCCTTTTGATTCATAAATTCTTATGCAATGAGGGACCTATGGCAATTTACAAGATGATCATATCACCTATGGTCTTAGGTAGGATGCCAGGATTGCCAAGCTGTCTGGGTCTCTTTAGGGCTTCATACTGAGGCATAGCGACCTCAAGTAAAGGAAAACATAAATTTAGACTATGGCCAGCAAAAATGAGTTTCAGGGATTCCAGGGAGCTTAGCAGAACACCAAGAGTTATCTTATTAGGACATCTCCTATTCAGCCTGGCTTCTATTTCAGTGGAGACACCATTACTCATGTATGTCTCACGTTTCCTAGAGAAGTGTGTGTGACAAAGTGGTTTAGCAGGTGAATGCACCTATAGGCTGCTCAGTGTCATGCTATTGAGGTAAACTCAGATGTTTGAAAGAGTGGCCTATGAAAGCCATCTGCTATACGAGGGAGCCAAGGGGGCAAGGCAGTTTGATTTCTTGAGGGCATATTAAATTATGGTCACTCCTTGGCTTAGGGTGAAAGTCCCAGGTCTAAGAGAGTCTGAACTTGGAAGTCATACCCTTCCCCCATCCAGGGATGAAGTTTGGCTGACATTTAACTGACTTGTGTTGACTACTAGTGCTTCCTGCTACCTTGCGTATTACTACTGCAGTGTTGCTCAGTCACTAAGTCATGTCTGACTCTTTGTAACCACATGGGTTGCAGGAGGCTTCTGTCTTCACTGTCTCCCAGGGCTTGCTCAAACTCACGTCCACTGAGTCGGTGATGCCATCCAACCATCTCATCCTCTGTCGTCCCCTTCTCCTCCTGCCTTCAATCTTCCCCAGCATCAGGGTCTTTACCAATGAGTCAGTTCTTTGCATCAGGTGGCCAAAGTATTGGAGCTTCAGGGTTGATTTCCTTTAGGATTGACTGGTTTGATCTCCTTGAAGTTCAAGGGACTCTCAAGAGTGTTCTCCAGCTTTTAAGTAACACTAGTGCCTAGTAGTGTTACTTAAAAAGCATGGATGCAATTCCTTTAAAAAAAAAAAAAAACACTTTTCCAAAAAATCATAAGCAAGTTCACTGAACTTTGGAACCTGAAATGTGCCTTTTTACAGGTATAAACTCGATGTGTATCAGACTCCAGTCTCGGGAAGTTATTTGATTCATCATCATTTCATGGAGATCATTCTCGGTTAAAAGATAAATTTTGTAATTTCTCCAAGCTCATGGCGATCATTTAGCCCTTCAAGCTTGAGCTTATCTGAAGCGGTCATGGATTTTCCTGCTATCTTCCTCTCTATAGCAAGTGACTTATTTTTCCAAACCTTTCAGTTTAGAGATAATTTTTTTTTTGAAAGGGAAAAAATAGTGAAATCATAGCTTGATGTTTCTATAATCTAGGGTTACATCAATCCTTTCTAAGGTCCCTAAAACTGAAGTGGCAGAGATGAGACTTGGATTCAAGACTCAACACATAGGCTGTTAACTGCTTGNCTTAAGACCTGAATATCGGTACCTCCTTTTTCTGATTCATTCACTTGTATTCCTCACATCTCACACTCAGGATATCTGAATCTGAACATCAAATCCTCTCTTCCTTACAGTGCTACTGATGCTTGTCCTCCTTCTTTCCATTTTCTGTTCACACCGAAATCTGAATGATCTTTCCAAAACACAAATCTGATTTTATCAAACTCAAGCTTAAAATCCTTCCCCTGCTCTTAGGACCGGCCTCAAAGCATCTTTCCAGCTTCATGTGTTGCTGTGCGTGCTAAGTCACTTCAGTCGTGTCCAACTCTTTGTGACCCTTGTGAACTGTAGCTCGCTGAGCTCCTCCGTCCATGGGATTTCCCAGGCAAGAATCCTGGAGTGGGTTGCTGTGCCTTCCTCCAGGGGATCTTCCCAATCCAGAGATCTAACCTGTGTCTCTTATGTCTCCTGCACTGGCAGGTGGGTTCTTTACCATCAGCACCACTTGGGAAGTACAGTGTACAGCAAAGTGTGGACTTCCCTGATGATCTAGTGGTTAAGACACCCATGTGTTGCTAGTTCACCCCAAATCGCCTCCACCCCCTCCAATGATTACCTCTTGGTTCCAGATCTCGGCAGAACCCTTTCCCAGTTTGCATTTCTTGTGTGCGCGTTGTTGCTTCTGTCTGCCTTTGCCGCCCCCATCCCCCCTTCCTCCACCCACCCCCTTTTCAGTGAACTTACAGCCTCTCAGTCTTGAATCAGAACACATGTTACTCAAGCAGTCTTCATCATTTGCTCCTCCATCCTTCTGTCTCTCCCCCTGGGTCCAAGTTAGGTCTCTCAGTCATGTTCTTTTATAGCTCAGATATGTACATTATCTTCTCTGAATTTCCCTCAATCAAACTTTTAAAATACTGTATTCATTTAATGTCTGTTTTTTTTCTATTAGAATATAATATTCATGACGAGTACAGCAGTGTCTGTGTTATTCACCTTTATATTCCCAGCACCAGCTCAGCTCCTATAGCTTGCAGTAGACCCTCAGTAAATCTGGTGGTGTAATGAAAACAGGAAGGAAGGGGGCAAGGTACAGCCTTTAAAAGAATGACACAGCCATAAGATACGACAGAAAAAAAGAACCAACTAGGTCCAAGGTGGTCAAATATTCGACTTCCAGTGGACCTTGAGCCTTATCATACGCTCATCGTAATAGTTAACTAAATGGCACACCCACCAGCGCCATGACAGTTCTGAGGCTAACCATCAAAGGCCAGAAAGTGGACCGTG